TCGACGGTGACTGCTGCCGATAAGTCACAACAACAGCCTAGCAATTTCGTGGCGCGTGAAGCTTGAGGCGATGATGTATGTGTATTAGACAATACTCTTATTGTTTATCTTGTCCGTATTTCTTTTCCAGTTTTCTCATCTGGTTTTACCATCTAGTTCGCAGCTTCGCGGCTTTTTCTTCCGATAATCAGTGTCGTGTCTCAATAGCCTCCGTTATGAGGTTACAGCAGTGCCACTATCTTGTGTTGTAGTTCTCATAAACTGTATTACGATACCACAATCTCTGAAACTCGCTTGAGACATTCGTTCAATGGGATGTGATAGGTTTGGGAGTAGGATTTTATGTTGTATGCAACCTCGTCACCAAAAGGGCGTCTGTCATGCAATTTTCGTGCATTTTCTTATGAAGGTTGTTTGTCTTGAGGAATAGGATGCAGCATTTACATTTTGCGAAGTTGAGAAAGGTCGTTGTCATCATGGTGGAAGGGGAAGTGTGCTGCTGAAAGGTTGGAGATCTCAGTTTTTCTCTGGTGGTTTTTTTGCTACTACCGTCATTGTTTACTATGGTAAGCTCATCACGCTCGTTCTTAAGAAGGTGGCGGCCCTCACTGTCACGACATGTGTTGTGTCTATTGCTCCTCCTCTTCAACTGCACTGTTTTGGTTGGAGGAAACATTCTTGGTATTGACATAGGGAACCAGTACTTCAAGATTGCTGTGGTTAAGAGAGGGAAATTTGAGATAGTAATATCGCCTCTTGCTACGTGACCGATGGAGAGGCTACGATTAGGTTCACAATCTCCATAGTAAACGGAAGACCCCGACTGCCATTAGCTTTGCGGAAGATGTAAGAATTTGTGTAAACGGTGGTAGAAGATACTATTCAGGTCCGATCGTATGGCGATGACGCGGTGGCTCAGTTTGCGAAGAAGCCAGAGCAAGTGCCGATGTAGGTTGTTGTTGCCGATGAGTTGGGACGTAGAGGGGTACGATAGGTACTTCCTGTCATTGCTTGGGGGTAACTTCACATCAGAAGAGGATATGTCTATTGGATTGCCGAGTAATTATTACCCTTATAAACTTGGTTATGATGCTAACGGGAGGAAGGTGAGGTTGTGATGGTTGTAGGAGGGGGAGTTATGTATTTTCAGGCCGTAGCATTCACGAGTATAAGCCCGGACACTAGTAGTTTGGAGTCGGGTGAAGGGGAGGAGGAGAGCTTTGGGACGGGCATGGCCTCTGAAGAGGTCACCGGTAGGGACCATCCTCGTAGTATGTCTGGTGACGGGCTTGTCTCAGGGCACTTGTTGGCCTTCGCTCGCCATCTGGCTGAGATAAGTGATGAGGATCACATGTCCTCTAAGGGTAAAGGAAAGGCGGCTCGAGCAGCCCATGCCACTGAGGCTGTTATTACTGTAAGGGGTCTCGCTGCACTACTTGGGTGGCCACGTTCGGTGGGTTAGGTCCCGTCGTGGGCGTCTCAGAGGTATCGTCAGGCAGTGTTGGATGCTGCCGAGATTGCTGGTTTTGCTCGAACCACTCTGGTTCACGAGACCACGGCTGCTGCGGTGCAGAGAGCAGTGGATGTGAAGTGAGAAGATATCATCGTGCGCACGCGGAAGATCTTTTCGGGCTTGCTCATACTAGGTTTGATAACGCGGACACTCTACTCACTTTGTTTGTGAACATCGGAGCGATGCAGACGGAGGTATGCGTGGTTCGTTATACTAAGCATGTTGCCGCTGGCAACGTGACGGTCCCTCATGTCCATGTGCTGGGCTGTGCACATACTGCAGAGGTAGAGCGGGAAGGGCCAGGAGAAGGAGGAGGAGGAGGACTTGTTGCTGTGGCAGGTCGCAGGGCACAGGATAGACCTTTTGATAGCCGATCGAATGGCGGAGACATTCTGTGAAAAGAACAGGAAGTTGTGCAGCGGCTTCAAGAAGAACACTAGAGCATCGTAATAGTACGCCGGGTTAAGTGGGAGTCTTGATGGTTGTGGTTGGAGTAGGGCTAAGCTGTTGAAGGCTGCCAACAATGCTAAGCACGTCCTCTCAGCTAATAAGGAAATGGTCTTCCAGATAGAGAGTCTCTATGAGGATACTGATTTTAAAACGGTAATATCCGTTGGACTCAGCGGAAGATCTATGGCTGTTGTTGTCCCTTGCAGCCTCTGACGAGGTCTGAACTTGATGAGATGATGGATAAGGCGGGAATGGAGGCAGCTTTACAAGCTACGGTGAGCGGCAGTAGCAGTTGTTGCTAGATGTGCTTATGCTGATGGGGATAGATCCAAGCAGCATTGGTGAATAGTAACGTCTCGGACATGAGGGAGGTCAGTGAGGCGGAGGTGATCGGAGGCGGCTGGAGAGTGCCTCGTCTCCACAAGGTGGTGGCGGACATTGTTGCCCCTGCAGATCTGGGCCAACATCTCAATGGTAGCTGAGGGCCTCTGGGTGATTATAATATTGAGATTGGATTATACTCAAGTGTATCATCAATATTGTGAGTGGTTAGGGTGATTGTTTCAAACCCAAAAAGATAGCGATATCCTTAAGGTTGATTGAACTACCTAAGAAAACACCCAGAGAGAAGTTCATTTCACCCGTGATATGTACAGCACTAGGGAAGATATATTTCACAACTTCGCATATCGCGGCAATCGGGTTTCTCGCAGAGTATTACGCTACTTTACGTAAAACGGATGAAACTGTATCGCATGCCTATATAACATGGAGAGACATGGGGGTTGGTAGGCATCGATATTTGGTATGTCAGGGGAGGAGGCCATTGCCTTTGGCGCGGCTATGATTGGTGCAAACTCGAGCAAGAGCTTCCGAGTTCGCAAGATGTGGTTGACCGATACGAATTCGGAGCATGAGTAGTAGCAGTGAGAAGGCGTCACTGGTGAGGTATGGTCATCAGGTACAAGGTGATGTTGACACCGCTGAACCCTTCGGCCTCTGTTGAGAGTGGCGGCGGCGACTGGCAGAGGGCCCAAGTTCTGGCTTCTAAGGGACACAAGCTTTCCTGGAAGAAGGCGGTAGGGGAGGCGGCTGAGGGCGGTCTCTGGGGGAGTGTCTTTGACAGGTTAAGTTGCATGTTCCCTTCGATCTTAAGCTGAGCATCTTTGAAGACGATAACCTCCTTGAAACCATGAACATTACTGGAGTGGAGAGCGCTGTGCCGAAGCAGCAACTAAGGCGGAAAGAGATCATTGATGCTGCAAT